CGTAGACAGTTCTATTTTTATAGCAGAAGCCGAAACATTGCTGGAAGCTGTTAATATCTGCAAAAGTATAATTGGTAAACACCTCTTACTATGTTCGGACTCTCTCTCGGTGGTAAAAGCTATACATAATATTCATCATAAAAACGAAACTGTGCAAAAAATAAGAAACATCCTAATGCAACACCCTCGTAAGCTAATAATAATGTGGATTCCGGGCCACGGTGGTATTGCGGACGCTAAATTTGCAACCACTGCACCCATCATTTCAAAAAATGGAACAAACAAAACTGACATCATAAAATTAATAAAAAAAAAAAACGCTATTGTCACATATCAAAAGAAGTTTGGAAAATTACAGCCACGAGTACAAACAAAACGCAGATGGTATCGCTGCAAAATATCCAAATGATATTTCAGGAATGGACCTCAATAAATACATATATACGCCTGAGGTTAGGGCATACTCGTTTAACTCATATCCACCTTATGAAAAACAGACCTCCTCCAATATGTCTATATCTATGCTTAGCGGATATACTTACGTTAACCTCTTAATTTATAACCGTAATTTTGTTAAGAACATACAGTTTGCTTCATTCAATAAAATCTGTTTGCCTGATCTATTAAAAAATATTAGTTCAGAAAAAATTATAAACACTAAATCGGTCTTAAAGAAATTTTTGCACTTATTACTCAATTTAATTGCCTTAATAACATATGATTTTTATTACTATTAGACCGAAGACCTTAGTTGTTAGTTGCCTAGATTTAAGGTTCATTTATGTAACTTAATTACGTAAATAAATTTTTTATAAATAAATAAATATTTTTTTATTGCAATGTTGGTAGCTTAAGTTACACGGTTAAAAATTTCGGTTTTAATTTTAAACTTTTATATATATTATAATTACAATTACAGCAACCGTAATGCTATTTAATAATCAAAATGTAATCGTAATCCTATGCGCCCAGCTCTGGTATGTATGTAAATATGTATATATTTACAACATTACACTGTGAGGATCACGCACTCATGTGTCACTAAAATGACAACATCGCCACAACAGATTGCGTTAGATTGACAGTCTATAGCGGTCATTTTTGCTGCTTGGTGATGCTGGCAATGTCACACGGCATTACAATGACGACTTGAAGTAGCCCACTAGAACTTGAATGGAGATCTCCCTAAGTGAGGAATAAAAGAGTACTCCCCATGACCTGATTTCGGAGCAATAAGAGAGATTTGTAGACTTTTTACTCCTTTATTAATCGTTTAGGAGTCAATAGGGACATCTCCTAAGCGAGAAATTAAAGAATGCTCCCGGAGGCATGATTTGGGAGCAATAAGCGAGATTAGTCGCTTTTGCACTCCTGTATTACTCACTTAAGAGTATAATGGGAGATCTCCCAAGTGAGCAATAAAAGTATCCTCCCGGAGGTATGATTTCGGAGGTATAAGCGAGATTTGTGGGTTTTGTACTCCGTTATTACTCGCTTAGGAGCAAAAATCGATGTCTC